GGAGATCTTCCAAACCTGCTTGGACACAGTCCTGTGCCACGTGCTCTAGGTGACCCTGCGTGTGCAGGGGGGTTGGACTAGATGATTCTAGAGGTCCCTTCCAACCTTAAGCATTCTGTGATTCTACGAAGCACAAGGGAGCTCTGTGCATGCGCTCTGTGGACACGTTATGCAGCGACTGAGATGGTTCTGAAGTACCAGTGTGGAAACGTTGTTTCACTCCATCCATCCTCCCATCTCATTCCTCCTTCACATAAAATGCCAGTGTATCACACGACACCCTCTAACTGCTATTTTTACACTGTACAAAAATAGTGTGTATGCTAGCTAGGTGTTAAGGCATCTGCTTGAAGGAAGGCATTGCTCCTAATGATGCACACCAGAATTATATGTAAAGTGCTTGTCAGAACCTTTATTTTTTCACTGTGAACTAACAGTAACAGTGTACTGTTGCACTGAAAGGATGCACGAAGCCTGTCTCGCCTTTGAACAGGCAATGCTGCTGTCAGAGCATCTGGGCCTGCATTTTGTTAGGATCTTCAGCGTTTTAACTGCTCTTTCTGCAGCTAATGGGAAGCTCCCTCTGCCCACAAAGAGCGCGTGTTCCGCTGCTTCTGGTTGCTATTCATAGTTCTTATGTGTAGCATTTCAGGTGCTACCTGTCTGGAGTTCTGGTTTTGTGTTTCTGTTATTAGATGGTTTTTTTTTGGAAAAGAAATTTATGTCGTTTTTCTTACGTACAGGGCGTGTGCTTCGATATCCCTGTTGATGAACTAAGTAACATACAGGTACGTGGAGTGTTTTTTGTTTGTTTTTTATGGTCAGAATTTGTTCTGGGAACCTTTAAGGGTGATGTGTTAGAGATGCACAGGAATTACGCTATCACAGGCTGGTTTGAGGAGAGGTGTGTGATTTTACAAGAATGCACAGGAGTACCAGGAGCCTTTACAAAATACCTCTCCTGCCTGGCTTTGTCTTTAGTTCTCCTCCTACTACCTGTTTTTTTTTTGTTGTTTTTTTTTTTTTATACTTAAAATTTCCGCATTCCTCCCTGGGTTTGGAACTTGCCTAGTGCATTTGAGAACAGCAGTGGTTACCCAGCTCTCTGGTCTGTGCTCCCTCTTTTCCCTTGGATTATCCAGCCCTCATTAGGGGCTGCTAAGTGAGGGTTTGCTGATGCCTCCAGGTGGGCTCTGATGACCTGTCTTGGCAAGGGGGGATTTGCACGAAGGCGCCTCTGCCCCTCAGCCCTGTGGGGTGACTTGGGCAGCCCCCACGCGCTGTCACTGCTGCCTCCTGAGCCTGTTGTGTCGCCCGGCTTTCAGGAGCAGTGGCAGGACTCCAGACGCTGGCAAATGTCTGTGGCCAAGGAACTGCCCGAGCTGGAGGAGCTCCCGCACGAGGCAGGAAACGGCTTCTCCAGGTTTGCCAACGGCCGGCACGGCGACCGCGGCGGCTTCCGCAGGAACAACAGATTTAAGAGCGGCAACCAGGGACAGAACTTTAACAGATCTTTTCACTGACGGCCGCGGGACTGAGCTGTTTTTTTATGGAGAAGTTTAAAAAAAAAAAAGAAAAAAAAAAAAAGGCTGGATTTTCTCCTGTTTTTTTATTCCTTCCCGGCGGGAGGCGGCGCCTCACGGCGCGGCGGGGAGGCGCCGCGCCCTGATTGGTCGGCGCGCGTCACGCGGCGGCGGGCGGAGGAGGAGGAGCAGGGAA